GTTCTTGGCAAAAATTTTTTGTTTTTATTTAAAAGAAATCTCTGTATAAATAATAAAGTAAAACATTTGAATGTCAACATAAAATATTCATCGACAAAGCTTCTTGATTGGTAAATGATGACTCAAACACTTTTCTTTCTATTTTTACATCAAAACAATCTAACGACAATATTAAGTGTTGCATTGAAATAGAATTGAATCATCCGAATAATATGTGACACAGTTAAGAAAAAAAAACAAAACCAGTTTCTTTATTCTTTTATTCTTCATCCAGGCATCATCAATATTCAGTTCTGCACCATGAAATTATTTTCAATACATTATAAAATTTTTACCACAATATGTTCTATATTTTTCTTTATATGTAGTCCAATCTAAATTTTCTTTTATACTAATAATAGAATGAAGAGTGAATGCAAGACGACGAGAGATAACCAATATATACTATCGTTCTGCTCAGAGAAACAATCTACACTATAGTCAAAATGTTATGATTCATTTTTTTCTTCGTTTTTTTTTTCTCTCTCGGTCCGTCTGTTCTTTCCTTGTTATATAGGCATTGAGCGAGCTATAATTACTTATACTAGCGGATGGTGGTGTAAACGAGAAAGACGTAAGATATTCAAAGTATGAATGATTTTATTATAATGAATTATTTAGTTGATTATAATCACTGATGTCATGCTGTTTTTATTTATAGTTTAACTATTTCAATTAGTGATCATTAAAAATGACCACAACTATGGATATTGTAGTCTGCCTTGACTGTTCATCATCGATGACATCCTATTTCAATCATATTCGTTTAGATATTCTTTCAATTGTTAATGAATTATTAATCGAACATCAAAGTGATGTTCGTATTGCATTAATTGAATTTCAATCACATACTGATTATTGGATAACAAATATACATCCATTTACTTCATCAATGAATTTATTTCAAGAATGGATGAATGCTGCTCGAACTGAAGGAAAAAATTCAAATGAATGTAAAGCAATTGGTAAAAAAAAATAAAAAGAAAATTATGTTTAAGAAAAGTAAAAAATGAATTTTTTTTGTTTAATATTTTAGTCGATGCACTCGATACATCTTTGACACTTGACTGGCGTTCTAATGTAAGTAAAGTTTATTCTTTGTTTTCATTAAATAAAAATAACTTTTCTTTTTTTTCTATTTTTAAAGACAAATTTTAATCAATATCATGAAAAACTTGTTATATTAATTACTGATGGTCCTCCTTGTAATTTTCTTAATGATGAATGTTCTTTTAATAGTAAAGATCTTTGGAAAATATCTGATGAATTTGAAAAACAAGATATTACATTAGTTATTATTGGTATTGAACCTAGTATTGTTGTTTGTGATGATTTCTATTGTGCATTAGCTAATAAAACAGGTACAAAGAATTTTCTTTGTTTTTAATTTTTAAGAAAAAGAAAAGTCAATGAAATTTTAGGTGGTGCATATCTTCCATTAATTAATGCTTTACATGTTCTTTCTTCTGTTATACCACGAGCCATATTAGAAGAAGAAACACTCACACAATTATTTCGTCGTGCTGATATTCATTTTGATATTGAATATAATTCTTTATATTGTTATTCATATGTTGAAAAACGAGTACGTTTTATGATTGAATATTGTCATACAATGACTGATATTCGAAAATGGTTGTTTACATATCGTTATCAACCGATTGAATTTATTGTTGATAAAATCGATGATAATGATTTTGAACCTCATTCTCCATCATCGAATAGAGATTATTTTCATGATTTTCTATGTCAAAATGTAAACATTATTGCTTCAACACCAATAACTGATGATGAAGGTTATCGAACAAGATTGCCGACGACGGCATCAACGGATTCAAGTTTTATACATATAATTGCTTCGTCTGCTTCTTCATATCGTATGGAATTCGATTGGACTAGTGAAATTGATGATGAATGCTTCTAAAACAAATTTTTTAACCGTTAGTTTTTTGTCATGTTCGACTTTATAATCTTAAACAAAAGTATTCAAGATTTTTTATGATAGACTTAACATTATCTTTTTCACTCTCTCTTTTTTTTTTCTTTATAGTTCAATTCATTGAATTTATTTCGTTTCGTTTTGTTTGTGCATTCATATTAAGGCTTAATCTTCTTTTATTTCTTTAATTAGTATATTTAAGTAAGAAGATAGGCCTTTCGCTTCTTTTGATTTATTGACTTTTTCCCGTTTTCATTCTTTTGACAAATGTTATTTTTTTGTTGTCAGAATCTTTTGCACTATTTAGAATGTTTCGTTTTTCTAACCTTTTTCTCATTGTTACAGATGTTCTCGTTTGTGAATCTACGTAGTTATATATATACAGATTAACACTTGTGCTTTGTTGTTGACATTTATAAACATGATTCCATGTAAAAAAAAAAAAAGAGAGGCAAGAAAAAAAAAACTTTTTCAGTTATCTTATTATTCTCAATATCGCGAAGAAAGAAAAAAAAAAATTTTAACGCTTTAAATCAACAACTGATTGACGTATAACATATGTAAAGTTTATCTATTATGGCTGTATGAAAAAAAAAAGAAAAGATAAATGAATTGATTTTTCATTTATTTTTGTTTTTATTCAATATTTTTCTAATTGATTTACTGCTGTGTGTGTTTATTTAAGATTTTATCTATAATAGTTGATCATGATGCTGAGTGAATTTTTTTTTTGTTATAGTTGATTTGAGATGATTATGTCTATTGTAAATAATACACGTGTCGAGAGCATAGAAGAAAATCTATTGTTTTTGGGAAGAATAAACAATTTCAGTAGGAACATTCTAACATGATATTAATAATCCATGGAAAATTTTTTAATTTTCTTGAATTGAAAAATATCAAAAATGACAGTTTCTTTGTTCAAGACAATCACTGTCATTCTTTGCAATAAAACAATGTTTTTTTTCTTTCTTCCAATAGTTAAGTGTATGGTGTAAGCTAATAAACGACTGATATTCAACATTATATTATGAATCATTTCTTTATGAAAATGATTCATCGAATTAGTCACAAGACAACATTAAAAATGTCTAATTCTCAGTCTATATAATCAGAATTTTTTTCTTTCTCTTATCAAAATATTGAAAATACAGGAATTATGAAAGGTGTCTACACAAGACACTTCATTTAAAAATGAACTATTTGCTTGTGAGAATAATAAGAATCAAGATATGAAAAATAGAGATAATTCTTGTTCAAAAGTTATGTAGAGAAAATACTATGTTGAAATATTGTATTAACATTTTCTACTACTAGCTTTAATTAAGAAACAAAATGTATCATTTTATCTCGTTGATAATACTGATTGGAATAAAAACAAAAAATTATAATGTAGCTGATTTATTTCATATAAAGCATATGTTCTGACTGTATGTAAATGATAATATGAAAATCATGAGTTAGTTATTGTTGTAGAGCATAGTGCATATTTTCATTGACTGAGAAATATGAAGAATAACATAGAATTAAATATAATTTCGTCATTTCCTATTTTGTTGCTGTTCTTCTGTAGGGAAAAGTCATTAAAATAATCACTATTTGTCATTGCATCATACTTATTAGGCATGACAAAGACAGTTGATATAGTATATTCCGTCGAATATATAGATATTTATGAAATATCGATGATTGTTTTGCCTGACTTTTAAAAAAAAGAAGTTGTCGTCGTTCTATTTTGACTAATAGTTACCTTGACTAGAATAATGCTTGTACTTGAAGTATCATTTAGTTTATGTGATTACTATTTTACACTCTTCTCTTCTTCATTTTAACTCCTTTTTTTTTTCGTCTTTCATGTCGAGCAATACGATTGTCATGTAAATGTCGAATGAAATAAGAACATATGTTGTCTTATATTTTTAAGCCTAGACTCTCATCCTCTTTCTTTATCTTCGCAATTTCAGATTTTTATTGTCATTCCTTCTGTCTCTCACACTCATTTTCTAGTAATATCACTACCTGATAAGAGTAAACAGACATTACATACTTATTTAAGTTAAATATATTATCTTTAATAGTTAATTTTTATTTTTCAGCTTATATTAATTATGCTTCAACATATAATGAATGAGTCGATGGATATTACTTTTCTTCTGGTTACTATGAAATCAATAAATTTTTTGCTTTCTACAATTAGACATACGATTTCATCCATTATAAATCCTTTAATACAAAATAATTGTGATATTCGTTTGGCATTAGTCAAATTTAGATCGGGCAATGACTCTAGTGTACCAATAGTTCATTCTTTTACAAGATCAGTCGTCACTTTCACACATTGGTTAGTTACTAATCATGAATCAGTAGGACAACATACTCAAGATGGAGCTATAGCAATCCGTAAGAAAGATATTGTTTCTTTATTATCATGATTTTTCTCACTAATATTTAAGATGATGCTTTGCGAGAAGCTCTTAACCTTGACTGGCGTACAACGGTAAGTAAACTTTTTGTGTATAATAAAATTTGTCTCCACTAATTATTTTTACAAACAGGATAATGATCGATGTCATGAAAATATTGTATTTTTGATTACAGATGGTTTTCCCTGTCAAAATTTAGTTAATCCAACAGAAATACAAAATGATGATTGTTCATGTGCTTGTGATGACCTATGGGCAATCTCCAATGAGTTCGTAAATCGAAATCTTACATTAGTTATTGTGGGTATTGGTCCAATTGTTGGTATATGTGATAGCTTGTATGGTGCTATAGCTAAAAATACTGGTAAATGGATTCTTTGTTTTTTTTTTATTGTATCATAGTTTTGTTCTTATCTACCTTTTATGCTCAGGTGGAGAATATGTTCCATTAACAAATGCTAGTCATGTTTTATTTTTGTCTATTCAATCGATTATAACACAAGGATATACATTGTCACAATCATTTCGTCATATAAAGCAAGAAGAATTTGAAAAAAATTCATCATATCATCATTCAATCATACAACAACAAGATCAATCTGAAATCAAACATTGTCAAATAATGGCTCAAAAAGGAGCATGGCTATTAGATCATTTTCATCATGTTAATTCTTAGTGATAATCATACATCATTTTTTTATTTATTATAAAACAGTAAAAAAAATCGGTATAATAATTCGATTACTATCTGTAGCTTTTTAATACCAATGGTGAATTTAGAGAGGGTACTGGAGCCAATCGCTTGTCTCTTTCGAAATATTTTTTGATTTTTCTGAGCAGAAAATGCCCAAAAATGAGTCGATATGAACTCTAACAGACTTTAAAACATATTTTATGACCATGATCACCTCGTTTTCCAGCATTCTAGATCCACCACTGGTTAATGCTGATGCTTTTTGTTTTTTACGTTTATGAAAAAATAAAAGAATGATTGGATCCCTTGTAATCCATGTCGATTCATAAAAACAGCTGGTGTCATCTATAAAAATTCTTCGTCTGATTAATAGAATATTTATATTCATATATTAGTTTCTATTAAATATTTAATCTAAATGAAGAAATTTTTATCTTATCATTGAAACAAATTTTTCATCAATTCATCGAGGATAATAATTAACCAATCAGAGTTATCGTGAAGATGATGTTGTTTATTTGTTACTATTCCATTGCATTTATTTATTCATTTTTTTAAACGAAAAGAAGAAGCATATGAGTCTTGTTCGATATTTTGATTTGAAAATGAAAACATTTTGTTTTAGATCGCTTTAGGCAAATATGCCACGCGTTCCACTTGTATACAACAAGACCTATTCGACGCCTCGTCGTCCATATGAAAAAGAACGTCTCGATCAAGAACTTGAACTTATCGGTAAATTTGGTTTACGAAATAAACGTGAAGTATGGCGTGTTCGTTATACATTGGCCAAAATCCGAAAAGCTGCCCGTGAGTTATTAACACTCGACGAAAAAGAGCCAAAACGATTATTCGAAGGTTTGTTGCATAAAAAAAAATATCTTTCCAAAAAAAAATAAAACAAAAATTTATTATTTAAGGTAATGCTTTACTTCGTCGTCTTGTTCGAATTGGTGTACTTGATGAATCGAAAATGAAGCTCGATTACGTGTTGGGTTTGAAAGTTGAGGACTTTTTGGAACGTCGTCTTCAAACACAACTTTTACGACTTGCTCTTGCTAAAAGTATTCATCATGCACGTGTACTTATTCGACAACGTCATATTCGGTAAAATTAATAAAAATTAAGATTAATAATTCCTTTTGTTATTTATTAAATAGTGTACGAAAACAAGTAGTCAATATTCCATCTTTCATTGTACGACTTGATTCGCAAAAACATATCGATTTTGCTCTTCGTTCACCATTATCCAGCGGTGGTCGACCAGGTATTTATTTATAAGAATCTTATTTTTCTTAGTTACATATTTTTTTTTTCTTTCTATAGGTCGTGTTAAGCGAAAAAATATGAAAAAAGGCGAAAAGACTGGCAATGATGAAGATGCCGATGAAGATTAAACTTTATATGAATATACATACACACAAGCAAAGAAATTATTCAGCGAGACAGTCATAAATGACTACCATCATTTGTTTTTTTTTTGTTTTTTTATACTTGTGTTGTATGTATTCTTGTTTTGCTGACTTAATTGTCATCAAATACAAGAGAACAAAAAGAAGAAAATAACCGATGTGTTCTCTGAATAGAGAAGAAAATATATTAAATATTCACAATTCTTTATTTGTAAACATATTTTTACACAAAGAAACTACGATACAAATTGATTATGATCCAGCAAAAACTTGAATCATATATTTCATGTAGAAAATAGCATTTAGTTAAGAAGTTTTTAAGAGATCTTGATCTGATTACAAAAAGACAATTCATAAAAAAAGGATCAACTGATGTGTGAAATTTTTTTTCAAAAGCTTTTTCTCGTCATCATCTGATGTAGAATAAGTATGTAGATTTTTTTTTTGTTATTACTGGTCTGTTTCAATATCATTTAAATGAGTAAGTCTTGTGAAAAAAAGAAATCATAGAATCAGTTGCTAAAGATATTCAGTTAAAACAATTATATAGCACTGAAATGTTATGAAATCAAATTAGCACCAATTTAAAGAGTAATAAACACTTATAAGACTTGTTTCAAAGATTATCTTTCGTTCAAAGTCCGACGTTGGAATTTAAAAAAAAAACAATACTCTATTGCAACAAGCGAGTTTCAAAAGACAGTTAAATATTTTTTTTAATATAACTCCTTCATTGACTTTACAATAAAATTTGGTAATACAATGCTTTTAACAACATAGCTTATTTTATTACCGACTTACGTTGACATCTATCATTTCTGATGCGGAATTCTTGATCCATTAAATACTTTTTGTAGATCCAAACTTATCTATCAAAAGATTTTATAGAAATCTCATCTATTACGATTCTTCTTTGCTTAAATTATGCTTTCCCGAGTTGCGCTTCATTTAACTTGTCGTGGTTCATTATGTCTTCGCAATACACGCCTTATTTTTCCTTCAAATCCATATCGTCGTTTATTTGAATTACCTAGACGTGGTGAAATACGTCCATGGTATCGTCGTTTTTGGCCATTAACTATCACATTTACTATTGTTTCGGCTGGTATACCAATCTGTTATATTATTTATAGAGATTTTCCTCGAATTCAGTTATGGATAAATAAAGACAAATTATCTCAAGAAAATTTTGATGAAAATACTGAATCTGTAACTCAATCAGAACTTGATACACTTCTTTCACAAACACAACAATTGCTTAATTCAGAACTTTATTTAAATCGTTCATCAGCTTTTATTGTACCTATACGTTTATTCTTTCGTACACTTAAACTTATTATTGTTTTTACTCCTCTTATTATTTTTTATTTTTATCAAGACAAATTTGCTCCACATTTATATGAAAAATGGTGTTTTGCACTTAGACGGTAAAAATTTTCTAGTTGAAAGACTCATTGAAAATTGATTTATAATTTATTTAGATCATTTGAATATTGTGGTCCTTGTTTTATTAAACTTGGTCAATGGATGGCAACTCGACCTGATCTATTTTCTGCTCAGTTTTGTTTCATATTTAATGAACTTCATTCTAATGCACCAACACATTCAGAATCTGCAACACGAAAATTATTACGTGAAAATAATATAAATATTGATTCACCATCATCATCCAATTTTCTTTCAAAGCCAATAGCAAGTGGTGCTATAGCACAAGTCTATCGATGTAAAATTGGTAATCAAGATTTAATAATGAAAATTCGTCATCCTGGTGTTCAAAATGAAATTTATTATGATTTAAAAATTTTAAATATTCTTACACGTTTATTAACAAAATTTGTATCAAAACAAACATTTCAATGGCTTAATATTGAAGATAATATTCAATCATTTACTAAAAATATGTTATTACAAACAAATTTAATGATTGAAACAAAAAATTTACAAATATTTGAAAGAAATTTTCAAAAATATAAACCAAATATATGTTTTCCACATTTTGATCCATCATTACCATCAACACAAGATATTCTTTTTGAAACATATGAAAATGGACAATTATTAAATACATTTATGGAAACATGTAAAGATATAAAAATTAGAAAAAAATTAGCATATCTTGGTGTTAATGCTTATTTAAAAATGCTCTTTGTTGATAATTTCGTAAGTTCAACCTGATAAACAATAACTAACAAGACAACATTTCCAAGTGTTCGTTACAACCAACCGTTCAATTGCTTTTGAGTCACAGTTCATGTGGATTTATATAATGCACATAGTTTTGACTCAAAAGCAATTGAACAGCTGGAGGACTTCCCTCGTAAGTGACGTCCGTATGTAGGCAAAGTTACGAGTCGCAACACTAAAAATGTTCGATCTCCTCAGAAAAAAAGCGTAGACACGAACTCTTTCTATCGTAAAGATAGTTTACTAAGGTCTACAAGATGTACTAAGTTCCAGCTTAAAATCAAATGGACATGTAGGAATGTTCTTTTGTAAGATGTATAATTCGGTAAACTCCAACAAAAATTCTATTGAAATTTTCGTCGTATTGACAGTAAACAATTTAATTGTGCTGACCTATTTTACTCTTAGGATTCTACTTTTTCAAATAGAAAAATATAAAGATTAAGAGGATAGTCTCTTAATGTAAAAATATCCTCGAATATTTTTCGGGAGATTCTTACATTGTATGTGAGTAAGAAATATGAGCCTATCGATGTAAACATTCTCCGAACAGATAATATAATAGGCGAGGAAACAGAAATGTCCCGAGTGGGAAAAAAGAGTTGGTCCCCTTCCAATCTTGGAAAATTTTCGTTTTTTTCTCTAATAGTGTTCCAGCGTTTTATAGGTTTTGTTTTTGCTCACTAATTTCCACAAAAAAAAAGAGTCGTCTTCTCCAAAATCGGGTCAACTTTAATACAAACCTTCTAGTTGACTTCCTGACTTATCGCTTCCTCTCTAATCCTAGCGACCTCGACGAGTAAATAATAATTTTGTTGACTTCATTTGTATTCAGTGTCGATATCTAATATAATTCAAGTTCTAAAAAAAACTCCATCAAGATTCTCTGATCTCCATACATCAGCAATACTATTTTATTCGATTTATTAATTGTTAGGTTCATGCAGATCTTCATCCAGGTAATATTCTTGTTCGTCTTGACGATAATTCACCTCGTGAACCAATTATAATATTTATCGATGTTGGTTTAACATCTTCACTTAATCGGAGAGATAAAAAGAATTTTTATGATTTATTTCGTGCAATAGTAAATTATAATGGTATAGAAGCAGCAACATTATTGATAGAACGTGCTCCAAATGCTAATGAAATTGATGATCAATCAAGAATTGGTTTTCAAAAAGATATGTCTAAATTAATCGATAGTGTTCTTAAAACTCCATTAAAACAACTTGAAGTTGGATTAGTTTTACGTAATGTATTAGATTTAGGAAAAAAATATCGTATTCAAATGGAATCGAATTTTACAACACTCGCTCTTGGAACAATTATTATTGAAGGTATTGGTCGACAACTTGATCCAGATTTTGATTTTGTTAGTGCTGCTAAACCTTATTTACAAAAAGATTTTCAACTTGTTAAAATGTATTTAAATAGTGTTTTTCAACGAAATGTAGTTAATACATCGTGGTGGTCACGATTATTTACCACGAATACATATAGTTCAGCTTAATTTCTATATTCTAGATATATTCTTTTTCTTTTTTTTTTTTTTCGTTATAACTTTATGAAAACTTAAAACAATGAAATTTCGTGCCAAATTACATAATAGTACAACAATCAATAAATTTACAAGTATGTTATAATATTAATTAAAAAGAATTTGACTGATATTCATCATAAAAATAAATGCAAGCGTTGTTCTACATTGTTGTCGGTCTCATCTATACAAAAAGGATGTTGAGCTTTTTGAAAGAAAAACAAAGCACATGATTGATGTTTTTTTTTTCGTTTGTAATAGGAATTATTACCGGTATATCAAAAATGGCAAAATCCGGTGTACTTCGATTAACATCTGATAAATTATTTTTAATATTGGGTGACAAATCATTTGGTGGTGGTGTTTCACTTTGGATTGAACTTGATCCAATTCGATTTTTCGATGATTATATTATGGATGGTTTATCAGCATTAGCAAATGAAATTTATATTGAAATTATGTTTGAAGAATTAGTACGTGCACTTAAACCAGCACAAGCAGCTCAATTACTTAGACTTCGTTTAATTAAAAAACATAATAGTCCATGTTTAAGTATTGATACAGAAGTTGTATGTTTTTTTTTTAATTATTAGAAAAAATAACAAGAAAAGAAGATTCTTCTTTTTTTATTTTAAATCATCTTTAGATTTCATCATCAATGACTGAACGACAATTTACATGTGACATTCCTATTCATTTATTAGCCCATAAACATTGGTAAATATTTTTTCCTATTATAGAGAAAGATTTATTCCAGTTTTTTTTTAGGACTGATTTTCAAGCTCCAAATATTCCTCCATATGATGTAAGTAAAGTGTTTTTCTTTTCTTTTGTTTTTTTTTTAAATATCACAATTTATACAAGAGAGAAAAAACCGACTATAATGAACAGAAACAACAATAAAAGTAGAAGCAATTGTTTTTGGATAGTTAAATATTGTTCCACTTGGTGTTGGTATTGTCGTTATTTGAATAATAAAACGTTCATTAGGTGTACATTCACTTGCACAATCAAGTTTTGAACATAGATCATTATAATATATATATGAATCTTGGCATGGTATTGAAGCATTAATTGGATTTTTAATTAATGTTGAATTTGTTTTACGGACGGCAGGTAATGTTAATTGTTGATGTTCTGATTGATATGAAAATCCACCAAGACATTCTTGACCTGTATAAGCAAGTGATTGACGATTGTGTAATAAATAATTAAATGAACAATTACATATTAATGGATTATTTTCTAAATGAATTGTTGAACGTGCAAAATTGGTAAATGTACATGGATGAATTGTTTCAAGTTGATTTGAACGTAAATGTACATTTAATGATGAATAAGTTGTTGTACGATGAAGGCCATAAAATGAACAAGTATCAAGTGTTGTTATATTATTTCCACTGAGATTAAGTTTAGCTAATCGTTTAAGCGATAAAAATTCGCATGGACCTATTTGACTTAGATTATTGGATGTAATTTTCAATTGATTTAATTCATTAAGATAACCACTATAAAAAGCTTGAGTAAAATTTTCTATATAATTATGTGATAAATCAAGATATTTTAAACGATATAAACCAGTCCATACATGTGCAGATATTGAATGTATTTGATTATGTTCTAATTTTAATAAACGTAAATTAACAAGATAAGAAAAAACATTGGCTTCTAATATTTTTAATTGATTATGTGATAAATCAAGATAATCAATAAGAAATGGACCAGCGAATGCATTTGGATGTCTTTGAAATGTTAAATTATGTATTGATTTTAATTTATTATGTGATAAATCGATTCGTGTAAGACGATGAGAAAATCCAAATGCAAATGCTGGTAATTGAACTATATTATTAAATGACAAATATATTTCATATAAACCTGTTGCATTGTATAAAGCTTGAGTAGGTATAGAATTAAGAGAATTATGATCAAGATAAAGATTTGATATTGGTGAAGGTTCACCGGATAATGATAATGTAAATAAATTAATTCGTTTAGTTTTTTCTCGTAATTTTAATGTTAATTCAGTTAGAAGATGTTTATGTTCTGAATTTGATGATATTATTGAACGTTTCATTTTATAGAGTTCATTTATATCTGTTTTATCCTATTTCAAAAATAAAATTTTCTCTCATTATTTATTTTTTTCTTATTAAATTTTTTTTTACCTCTTCATCAGACTTATCATATTCATAATCATCAAATAATTGAAATTGATCATCAATAATAGGTAAATGTTGTTGACTAGGCCACATATCAATTAAATGTCGATGAGTTAAATTTAATTGTACAATAAGATCATATGCAAGTGAACTAGAAAATACTATATGACGTATATGCATATTATCAGGTATCCATTTTGTTTTATTATTAAATGTTATATTATCAAATAAATTAAATGCTAAATCAATATTCCATTCAATGACTGTATTATTTGTTGGAATTGTTTGAAATATTGGCATTAATGTTAATTTTCGATAGAAACAATCAATCCATAAACGTTTACTTTCAATTTCGCATATACATTGACAAGGTGTTGACATTGGACATGGTCGAATATATTGATTATTTGTACGTATATCGGTACCGGTTGAAAACAAATATGGTGAACATGCTGATGTAGATAATGCATGGACGGATGATGGTAAATTAATAATATTGAGAATAAAAGTCATCGTTATTATTAGTGATGGCAATAAATTATTATTAGGAAATAAAGTAGACAAAGAAAGGGAAGAAGAAAAAGGCACTGCGATGCACCATTGCATTCTTCCTCATAGTGTCAATATTCTTGAATAACAGCTCATAAGTATCGATTAACGATAAGAGTTGAATATACTAGAAAGAAAATAAAATGAAAAATACACAAAGAAAACTCAAGTAATATTATAATTATATTGTTTCGTGTTTTGTCATTCGAGTTGACATACTCAAAAGATTAAAGTTATTTCCGGATGTTTTCTCTGTTGATATGATAAGATAGAGAAAAAGAAAAGAACAATACATACTAGAACTGGAGATATACTATTTGTTTTTGTCGTTTCTAACTTTCGACATGCAAAGTATATAGTAATGTCGATTAATGTTGACGTCACTATTGATTCTATCTTTCTTTTTTTCTTATTGTATCAATCATTATTTTCTCATTGACATCTCAATGACCTTGACAGCCTATCGAAATAATTCAAGTCACGTTTCTTATTACACATTAGATTGTTAGTATTCTTGATATTTTATACAATAAATTTATTGATCTGTCAAATATTTCCAAAAAAAAAATAATATTTCTCTTACGATGTTCTTTATAAGCAAAAAAAAAATAATGCCATAGGGATCCGAGACAATTTACTACTAGCACGACGAGACTCGGCGCACAAGCGAATAAGTTCTTGTTATGGTTGTATATTTATCAATGTCTCTTTTTCTTTCAACCGACAAAAAAACGTTCTAGTTCGCTACTATACTTTGCCTATATAACTAGTATGGAGTTTGCCATCTTTGAATAGGAACGACGCACACTAGTCAAAAAAAAGAAAGAAACGAGGAAAAAGAGAGAGAGAGAGAGAGAGAGAGAGGGAGAGCACTCTAAGAAAACGCATTGCGTGTGTGGTTGCCGCAAAGAAATAGCAGAAAAAAAGCAGAGAACTGATAGCGGTGGATTATTACCGTCATCGGAAGAATGAGAAATAATGGTGCAAGGAACTTTCCTATCGATAGAGACATAAGATTGTATACATATAAATAAAGATAGAAAATCTAGTGTCAAGCGAAGTCAACGTTTGTCGCCAACATATTTCGAGAATAATATATGACGATGAAGAAAAAAAGAAAAGAATAGAAGAAAATCAACGAGACAAAAATAAAATGAGTTTTCATTTTTGTCATAAGAATCTTTCTCAATTAAAATTATTTAAAATAGTATTGATATATCAATAGCATAGATTATGAGAAATATTCGATTAACTTTTGTTCTATTACCAACTCAAATGAAATAGAAAAACCAAATAATAAATTAGCCGACTCTAGTTCAAATGACAATAATTGAAGAATAAAGATAAATTTATGTCATCACTTGATTAACTTAGAGTTGATGGGCTATGGTATTCTCAATATTTGCTACTAGAATGTTTGCTGTTGTTGTTGTTATTGTTGCTATGATGAGTGTTGATACTCACATAAAGGTCAAACTTCTTGACATGTTATATACAAATATAGACCCAAGGGACAGATCGCACTTGTGATATTTATATAATCATGTGATCTATCTTAATTCTAGTCTATAGAAATCCATATGTTTTATTTAAAAAATAAAAAAATTAAAATCAATTCAATTTTGAAAAAGAAGAAAAAATTCTTTTCCTATTTAGATTAGTATCACAATGTCCAAATTAAAAACATTAAAAAATATTATCGATCGAATGAAAGCTATGTGTAATTATGTTGTAAGTTCTATTTAGAAAGAAGAATTTCTAATCTTCTCTATAGACATTACAAGCAAATAAATCTGGTGATATGACAGTAAAAATTGAAACGGATACAGCACAAGTAGCAACATATTTTACTGGTCTTCAAGGAACATCGAGAACAAGTTTGAAAATTATTTATTTTATAAAATCGAAATAATTGTAAATTTAGATCCTATGAATGATGATCGATCTGAATGGGATATGCCAATAACACAACAATCAAGTTCATCATCAACAAATTCTATTGATACAGCTGAAGTACGTTTAGATATTAAGAAATTTGCACAATTACTTCATTCACAACAACCATATGCAGAAAAAATGGTTTTTAGTATGTGAAACACGTTCATTTCTTTATTATTTTCTATTGATTTTTTTTAGATTTCTGTAATAATAGCATGTTACATATTTGTATTGTTGCAGAATATTTTACACTTCAATGTATTTTACCTTCAATTCAACTCTAGTAGTCAGATTATTTGTTTTTTTTTTCTTTTTGTTATTGTTACTTGATATATATTAAAAGATAACTTTTTTTTTGCTCTTTGTTATATGTACATGTTTTATTCAAGATTATATTTCAGATGGCGACAGTAGAACTAACAAAAATTGATGCATTCCGAGCTAAGATTGAACAACGAAAAGCTTGTGAAAAGAAAGCATATGATACATGTATGCAATTAATTGAAGAAGACAAAGTCGATAATGAAACGCTAATTAATGCAGTAAATATCATTTTATTGATGTTTTCTATTAATCACCATTCTTATGTAGGCTACTCTGATCGATCAAGAACGATATCGAGGTGTTAATGAAGATCGTGCATTAAGACAAATATGTGGCTATCCTATTTGTTCCACATCACTACCAAAAGATGTATATTAATTATGTTTTTCTAAAATGTCTATTAAAACCTATTATCAATATTTAGATACCAACTCATCAATATCATATTAATGTAAAAGTAAATAAAGTAATTGATACAACAGAACGACGGGTAAGAAAAAATTTCAAATAAATTTTTCAATAAAAAATTTTATTTTCAGTTATTCTGTTCAACATTTTGTTATAAATCTTCAAAATATTTCGAACGACAAATTCCTACATCACCTGTTTGGGCTCGACAACAACAACAACAACAACAAGGAAATACTCCAATAAAAATTGAATTATTAACACATGAAAATTTAAAGTAAAATAAAACATTAAAATCAATATTATTTTTCTATTTAATAATAAATTATTTAGTAAAGAACAACATGATAGTAGTACAATTATTTCTCAATCTAATTATAATCGATCGATGCCTAAAATATCTCATCGTCATGAATCATCATCATCTTCATCTGATAGTGATGATGATGAATTTGAAAAATTACAAATAGCTCGTGATAATTATTATAAATCTCGAGCTACACTTTCACAAAAAAAACCAACATTAGTTGAAACAAAACTTAAACAAATTTCTTTACCTGATTATATTCGAACAGATAATACAACAATTGATTTTGTTATAATTTGTTTATATGAATGGATAACAAATAAAACGAAAGATTATCTACAAAATAATACAATAATATCTGATACACAAATTAATCCTCAACGATATCAACAATTAGTAAATAAACTTGATATTGAAGATATGATGTCATCTGATGGATCTCGAGCTGAAAAAAAACTTCCAACAATTGATGAATTACAAAGAACACAACCAGAAAATCAATATGAAATTAAAGTAAAAGAATTTTTCTTTGGAAAAAGTGATACATCAAAAGAGGTATGAATGCTATTAAGTGCTATTTATAACTTTAATCTATTTAACAGGAAATAACAACATTATCATCTGCTATAATATTACCACCAATTGACGCCTACTCTCAACAAACTATTCGCTTGTCAATTGTTAGTCAGAAAATCATGACATGGTCTGTCATTTCTTTTTCTTCTTTTTTACTCAATTCAGCCAATCTAATTTTAATAGTTTCAAACAAATGTTTTACGACAATGTCAAACAAACTATAGCAGAAGATTTACGATCAGCACTATCAGAATTATTATTGACATTAAGGTAATTAGATTTTAATCAGGCTTGCCAAATTCAAATTTCGAAAACTAGGAGACTTTTTTTTTTATTCAAATCATAAAATTACTTGATGGTCTTTTATCGAACACAACTGAAATTTATTATTCACCTAAGCGCTTGTTATATTCTGTTGTCTGATTGGAAAAGACGGATGTTTTCCTCTAACGAGAAAAAGACCTCAAGTGATAAACAGACTTTATTGCTGAGATTTCCAATATTTAGTGAATTATGACCTGAAACTTTGTCTACATAAAGGCACTGATTAGATTAGCCTGTAGAAAAAATTTCAGAATTTTTCTATCAAATCTCTACAAGATGAAAATTTTTCATAATACCCATATTGTTTACAATAATCATGGTAATGCACTTATGTTTTAAAAAATTCATATTTTGAAGAGACTTAGTAGAAAAATTTTTCTACAAGCTAGTCTAACCAGTGCCTTTGTGTGAGTTAAGTTTCAGATCTAAATTCCAAAGTATAATTTTGTTTTAAAACTAGGGTCCCACAGAAAAGATTCACTAAAAATTCAAATATCTTAGGAATAAAGACCTAGCGACTCAAATTACTCTAGGATACTTACCTACTCACTAGATTCTATCGAATGAATCTAACTTCAGCTTAAAAGCAATTTGTCACTTGGGACCTTTTCCTCATCAATGATATATAAGAAAAAGCTATTAGCGCAATCCCAGATGTATTAAGATGTGAAACATGATGTAGATTCTATTGCTAATTACAGAGAGATTATTTCATTCTATCTATTGTGGGACACATTTTTCTTTGCCATTCTTTTACATTATCCTCCAGAAATGAGATAAAGAATTATAACGAGACGTTATTGATATACGATCTTTGATCATATATCAACAAGGTCTGTCACGTCTGTAGTAAGTTGTTTCTCACGTGTCTATCACATCTGTGATGATTTGTTATTAAGATGTCTGTCACTTCTATGAAAAAAAAAAGGGAAAGAAGTCCAAATTACTACTCCTATACTTCAACACTACTTTTAGATCGTGTTTCACAAAAAGGAAGATAATTAGGTGTGTGCTATATTATTAATAATTTCACGGTCATTCAGTAAAATATAGCGACAAAATATAAAATAAACTTGATACAAAAATTGACTTGAATCAAAACAACATGAGTATGATTAAATAATAAATTATTAGCTATGTTGTTCTTAATACTTTTGCAACATAATCATATTTTTCTGATGAACGATTCTGTTTCAACATGTCTGGATTATTGAAAAGATAATCATAGGATTGAATACTATTGTAATGAGTATTCATTTTAATTATTAATTTGCTTTTGTTTGATCATTTTTTCCATAATAAAGAATATGTCGGATTCGAGATACTCTTCTTTTTTTAAATTTTGAAAAGTAATGTTTAGTGATTGTGTTAGATGATGATGAAGCAGTTGCAAATTTTGATTGACTTTTCAGCAAGACAGAATTGACAATTTTTACTAATGCCCATTTCAAAAAAACCGGCGAGTGAGTACTTTTTTTCGAATAACTTTTGATAGAAATAAGATAGAGCGCTACAATTTTCACTATTGGAAAGAGAAGATAATGTCACATTGAATCATATATTATACGTTCTCCTAAGATGTTTTCTGAAGTTTTTTTAATCAAATTTATAAAAAAAAGGTGTCGGAAAAATGGTTCGTTTAGTATAAGAAAAAATAAAAAATGTGATTATTTTTCACAGCAATTGCTTAAAAAATTGACCTAGAGTATTTGATTAAAAATACCTATGACTTCTGGATAACTTCACCTAAAAATATGAGACTTGTGTAGTTTTGTAGGTCTTCCATCGATGGTTCGGATGTGCACATTATAATTGAAAATTTACTATAGTTTTCTGACAGGATACCATAGTTTTCAACGAGGTTGATTGAAAACCTTAAAAAACCAAGTCGAAAAAACTAGTAATACACGATTCGATGCGTCGTTATCTTCTCTTTCTAAAGATAAAAATCGCCACTCTCAGTCTTATTTCTATGAAAAGTTATTACGAAAACTTCTACCTGCCTCTTTTTTTTAAAAATGGGCATTGGTTAAAGTAAAGATTGTCCTCTAATGAATTTTGTACTTAACTAAGGTCATGTCCTTGCAATGAAAGCATTCGATAAACACGGAATAGATTCTTCCTGTTTATCTATAATCACGCAAGTTCCTGACATAGAGTTTGTTTATCAAAATTGATAGTCTCTGTTTTCAAGGACTCAAGTAAACACAACGTGTTTTTCTTAGTAATTCAAAATGTCTCTAAAATTCAATGTGACAAAAAGATATAAAATCAAGAAATTTGGCAACTTGATTCTAATATTTTTAATATAGAAAAAAAAAATACTAATATTTATTTTTATATACATATTTAGTTTCAATAGTGAAAGCATAGCCTTGAAATCTAATGAATGGACAATTATGACTTTATTTCTCATTCATTTGTATGTATTAAGAATTTTCTTTTTTCTTGTTTTTATTTAATTTTTTTTAGATTGACAATAAAATTACCTGTGCTATTATCTCATTTACCAGAATCGAAAATTATTCAATCATTATTAACTACATTAAATCTCTCTTCAGATATGATTATTCATATTTTAAAATATTTACTTGAAAATCCGATTGAAAATCAACAATCATTAAACTCTATAACGAACTTTGAGGATATTGATTAATTGAATAAAGATCAGTTTTTTGTTGATAATATTGTTTATTCTAGATATGATATTAATACAACGAACTGTTCAAACAGTATTTAGAGATTTACTTGAATCTGAGACGATAAATATTGAAAAATTAAAACAACATGTTCAAAAAAATTCTATTGTTGCTGAATTAAAGCCATTCTATTGGAAAATTCTATTAGGTTTCTTTTCTAAACTAATAAAATATTTCTTTTTTTTTTTAAATTAATTTTCTTTTTAAGGTATTAAATCACCTTATCGTACAACACGTCGATATGTTGATGAAGCGAATTGTGACATATACAAATGTTTTCATTCAACATTAACAACTTGTCAAATAATTAAAACAGATACATCTACTTCTCAACAATTTCTCTCAATGTATTTACTTGATTCACATCCAACTAAATTATCTATAATTTCAACAGTAAAAACAAACAATAAAAATTCAATATTCTTTTTCTTTTTTTTTTTTTTATATATTTATAATAGAAAGAATATGAACCTTTTTTATCAATTGCAAATTTTACGTGTGCCTTTCTTGATAATGATAATGAACAACGATTAGAAGTTACTGCTGAATGTTGGCTTATGACTTGTAAAATATATGATAAATTTGTTCAATTAACTCGACATATTGCCTTACTCGTACTTGAGTAAAAAAATTATAAATTCATAAA